GCCATGTGAGGTAAGAGATTTTCAATCCGTTTCCATCTGCCTTCTATTGTTAACTTACAGTCTTTATTTTCTTCAGTTATTTTTATTATGTAATTAATTAAGGTTTAATATTATTAAAGAAGTAATTTTTTTGGAATTTGTCTCACATTTTAACGTGTAATCGTAGTGAATACCAATGTATAGAAATATGGCCGATTTACTTGTATAATTCGTGAAAGGCTCTCTTCGAATTTTTCCATTGTTTAATCTTCAAAATACATTATTTTGGCGATATTTTCATTCTTCGAGAGTGGGGAAAATGTTTTATTAATGTTTATAAATGGTTCCAAATATACTCTGCCATTATGCGAGATCCATTGTTGAGTGTTGCTAGTTGACCCAAGGAATAGATTATTAGGCATATTTAACTACAAATTCCATGTAGATTATGGTGAAGAGAGTGAATTTTCAATAATCTGGTTTTTATAATTCTCTTCTGCATGATGAATATTTAGTGTAAAGCTGCCCACACCAAATGTGTGTGATGCCATGTAGTGTTACAATGTAATAATATTGCTCTAAATCACTTAGGATAGGGTAAAAGACTCTGCGACATGATGACCAGGTCGCTTGAAGCTATGCGGCTAATCCATTGCATCTCTGCTAACCGTTCTCTACTCTGAAATACGCATAAAATCCTCTTCTTGGTTTGTTCAGAAACTGAGGCTGAAGTGTGGCATTGATGTTTTTTTGCTTGATATAGTGCAGTATACAAATGATCGTATTAGAAAAACCATTGTTTAAGCTACCAGAGAAAGATGCTAAATAAAATAAAGATTTTAAGTAAAAACAATAAGTTTTACACGGCCAACGATTATTTAATATTAAAATAATAAATGTACATTTATTATTTTAATATTAAATAATCGTTGGCCGTGTAAAACTTATTGTTTTTACTTAAAATCTTTATTTTATTTAGCATCTTTCTCTGGTAGCTTAAACAATGGTTTTTCTAATACGATCATTTGTATACTGCACTATATCAAGCAAAAAAACATCAATGCCACACTTCAGCCTCAGTTTCTGAACAAACCAAGAAGAGGATTTTATGCGTATTTCAGAGTAGAGAACGGTTAGCAGAGATGCAATGGATTAGCCGCATAGCTTCAAGCGACCTGGTCATCATGTCGCAGAGTCTTTTACCCTATCCTAAGTGATTTAGAGCAATATTATTACATTGTAACACTACATGGCATCACACACATTTGGTGTGGGCAGCTTTACACTAAATATTCATCATGCAGAAGAGAATTATAGGAACCAGATTATTGAAAATTCACTCTCTTCACCATAATCTACATGGAATTTGTAGTTAAATATGCCTAATAATCTATTCCTTGGGTCAACTAGCAACACTCAACAATGGATCTCGCATAATGGCAGAGTATATTTGGAACCATTTATAAACATTAATAAAACATTTTCCCCACTCTCGAAGAATGAAAATATCGCCAAAATAATGTATTTTGAAGATTAAACAATGGAAAAATTCGAAGAGAGCCTTTCACGAATTATACAAGTAAATCGGCCATATTTCTATACATTGGTATTCACTACGATTACACGTTAAAATGTGAGACAAATTCCAAAAAAATTACTTCTTTAATAATATTAAACCTTAATTAATTACATAATAAAAATAACTGAAGAAAATAAAGACTGTAAGTTAACAATAGAAGGCAGATGGAAACGGATTGAAAATCTCTTACCTCACATGGCACGAAACGACACAAAACAATCAGGCGGAAGGCGCTGGCTGACGCATTTATACGACACGAGTCTAAAGACAGTGTTGCCAGACATCTTCGTTCTAAAATCGAACTTTTCGATCGAAACATCGCCAAGATATCGCCCAAAATATTTGCTCGAATTTTATATCTTTCAGGAAAAACATTGTTATATAAGAAATTTTTACAAAAGTATATTTTAAATAATAATGATAAAATGAAAAAAATTTTTTTTAAGTGTTACTCAACCATCTGAGAATTTACACTGAAGAGGGGCTCATACAAGCCTGAAATGCATGTATAATTTACAATAAAGGAATACTTAACCTCAGAACTGAAAGAAAGTTTACCGTTTGTTAACCATTCGGATTGAAGAGACATATACTAAATCTAAGTATTTATCAGCTATTATACCAGATTTTGTAATTAATGTAGTTTTTTTTTTCATTTTTGACTCTCCGCCTTTCTTCTATATTCATAATGAGTACAGAAGCCATGCCGGCTTAGTCCCTATAAGGCTGGTTTGGTGGGATACAGAAATGTGACACACGGGAGATCTGTCAATGGATAGTGTTTTCGGGCGAATTTCCTGTAAGAAACAGGTGCCCGATTAGGTGTTTGAGAAGTGAAGAAAACGCGAAAACTTTACATTGACAGCCCGTTAGTGAGGCGCGAATCCGCGATAAACTAACTTACCAGTGGTCAGTGGTTTTATCCACTTAGCCACTTGTAAACTTAACTTCTTTTATGTATTCTATAAGATTTCAAATAAAAATAACTTTCTCTTTTTTACAATTATTTATATAATGTATATATTTTTTACATATAAAAAATGTAATTTTTACTGTCGCATTTCGCCGTGGTTCAAACACGGCTCGGCTCAATAACGCCGCTAATATATACGATACATTTTGTATTAAATTTTCCCTTATGTTTCTATGTGAATTGTATTCGTTACAGTTAAATAATTGTAAAGATCTTTAAGTATTAATATATGGAATTATTCATAAATTGTGTAACGCATTGTTTTATACTTTTAAACTACCATCCCCACCCCACGTAACTCGCTGTATAACGTGTGTGGAGGCTCACCAATAGGTGAGTAGGAATGTCTCGATACTCACCCCAAAATTACGTAACTCATATTTTCCATCGATCTTCTTGTACTAAAGAATAATACATAGCGAGGGGTACCGAACGTTACGTTATTTTATTAATTACGTAAAAAGCAGTAACATACCATAAACGCTACGGTTCGCTAATAAACAAAAAAGAATACAGTAATTCTGTTTCTCAAGGATAAATACATTAGTATAACGTAACGTTTTTGTAAACTCCTTCACCCCTTTTAACGCATCGTTAAGATAATCTGCATACCCACTCACCCACATCTGCATTACATAATTAACACTAGTGTCCGAGTGGTTAAAACCACCGAACACTGATAGTTGGTCGTAGGTTCGAGCTTCACCAACGTGGAGTTTTCCGTATTTTCTTCGTTTTGTAAAATTAAAATAGGGGCCAGTTTCCCATAGAAAGTCCTCCCGGGAGAACTCCCTCTATCGCCCAAGTGTCGTGTTGCTGATCTGTGTCTTTGCTTTATTGCGTATTTACAAAAGTGTTCGGAGGAGTTAGAAAAAGTTTGTACTACTTTCCAACATGGTGTTTAAGAAGCAATGGACCCAAGACAGAGCCCTGGAGAATACCCTTGTTTGGTTTAAAGAAGTTAGAGATAGAATTTTCTACTTTGACGTAATAATATCTTTTGACAAATAAGACTGTAACCAATTTAGAGGAATACCTCTTAGGCTGGCGTTTTGCAACTTTCTTTTCTAAAATCTGGAAATCCAGACCGTCGAATGTTTGACGACCTTCTTTATCAAATATCCATCGTATTTTTGGCCAAAGAAAATGAGTAACATTACAATTGGTGAAATACAAGAGTCAACATATTCAAACACACTTCCCCAGTAAATTCTTGTACTTTCCGACTCGTGCAAATTCGAACCCGGATCCCCAAGCCTCCAAAGCCGACAGATATGCGTACTGTAATGTAATGTTTATCATCGATTTAATATTATGATTAAATGTGTTTGAAATGTCAGACAAATTAAATTTTCTAAATCCAAGTTTTTATATTAACGACCCATCTGAATGCGAAACCGGATCCTTTAGAGCGGTAGGTTGTCGCCTTGATCCAAGGACTATATACTACAAGGATAGCCAGATCCCTATTCTACAATGTTAGCCAGGAATGCCAAGTTAGTGACGTCAGCACGAGACCTGACCTCTCTGTTTACATTAAGCAGGGTGTGCACGTGTTTAGTTTTCGCTTTTAATATTCGTCCAATTTTGTGATTAACGAAGTGATTTATTTTAATATTTCTGTAATTGTTTAATTTGACTAAGTTTTTTATAAGGTAAGATGATTTAAATATAAGTCATTAAATATTTAAAGCTATATTTTTATGTTAGGTGAAGAACAAAATGCTGAGTACTAGGTGTGCTGTGTATGGTTGCAATAATAACCTTCTTTTTTCAAATTGGAAGCAACCTGTTTACATCGGGTTTGATCAAAAAATGACAAGAGAAATACTTTTAAAATTAATAGCAGAACTTTATTTACTATCGTATAATGTAGTAGCTTGCGTCAGTGACTGTAGTTGCAGTAACATAAGTTTATGGAAAGAATTGAATGTGAATATCAATGAAACGTTTATTATGAATCAATTATTATTATCAATGAAACGTATATTAGAGATATAAATATGTGGTTCGACATTTTTAATAGCTATGCACCAAAAGGTTCTGTTCCAAGCAAAAATGGATATGGTGTAGACTTGGAATTACAAGAAGAACATTTAAATAAAATGATAAAAATAATCTCAACAATGAGAGCAAGTGGAAAAAATGCCCTCCAAATTTTCCAGAAAGGAATGATAATCTCAATGAAATCGCTAATTGATCTTTTTCAAGATACAAAATCGACTTTTGATATAAAATACATCTGCACTTAAATCAAGATTGTCTGGAAAACTTTTTTTTTCAAATTAGAAGCCGGGGGTCCTAATGAACATCCAAGCCCATTAAATGCTATATATAGGATTAGATTGATTATTTTAGGTAAGAATCCTGGTATTTTAGAGTCAAAACTAAATACTACAGATCGAAGACAAGAGGAATATATTAACCCAAAGTTTTAGAGAAAGCACGTGTAGAAGTATCAAGTGAAAATACAGACCAATATACTGAATGTAAAACTACTTTTTCTTCAAATAAATCTTCAGGAAACTCTACACGCAATCTAGACTTTGTAAGTTCGCTGATTTTGGGGGCAATACGTTAATTGCGCGTCAGGAAAACCTAGGGTCAAACCGTATGTGGGTGGTGGCGGTAGGAGACAGAGATGACAAGTGTCTTACACGAAAACCGTTTATTTTAACATAAGGTTAACTCACATAATGACAATAACAATGCGATCTAGATCGGCTTTGGTGGGAGCTCCTTGATGTCGACGAACGGGCGCTGACTGGTGTTCCGGGCTTGACAGGAGAGTGTCTGTTGCACAGGTGCCTCTGTCCGGTGACGTTGCGGATGTTAGTCACTGGTGGAGAACCTGGTCCGAGTGGAGAACTGCGGAGAATCGGCTGGGAATTCCTCTTCGGAGAGAAGCGGCTGAGATTCTCTCTCGGAGAGAAGCGGCTGAGATTCTCTCTTCTGTCCTTGAGATTCGGAGGTTTTATAAGATTTTCCCCGAATCTCACTCTTTTGATTGGTCCCATTCACCCTCTCCCTTACCCCGATTGGTCATTCCTTTGTTTCTAGGCGAAACTTGAGACCAATCCGGGTCGGGAAAAGGTCGGAGAGGTGATGACGGAGCTTTTAATGTTCGCGCTGGTCGACCCGGCACTTGTTCGCGAGCATCTCAACAAAGCTCTTTCTCTCTGTCGACATTTTCCCCTGTTGTTTATCATCGCGTCGCGTTTGTTCTATGATTCGAAAAAAATTTTCGTTCCATCTGGGTTCTGTCATCAACACACCCTCTTGACCCAATTCTATCTTCGAAACTTTCTGACGTTAAAGTTTGTAATTAGTCGAAATTTCGACGCGCTTTTACGACCCTCACAACTTTAACACAATCTTTGAATAAACTTCTTACGATGCTCTCGAGTATATAGCAGGATATTTTGCCTATAAATATAAAGAAAAATACCAAAACTTAATTAACTCCACTAACAATATTAAAAATCATTACAAATATAGCATTCCGTCATGGGTGCAACATTTATCTTATGGAGGGCTTACCTCCTGATTAATGGCTAGCAAAAATTATAGAATGGAATAAATATTTCGAAATATATCACGATGAATCGTATAAAAATGGCCCCGGAGTTGTACAGAATTAGTCAGTGGAAACAGTTTTACCTTTTACTTTAATAAAAGATTTTTGTAAATTAAGAACTATAATAAGAATTAATTATAGAANTTTTCTATTAACACTTTTTACATTATATATATATATGTTTTGTTGAAAGGTACATTTATAAATTTGTTAACTGAAGACATGACGGGTTATTCTCTAAAATTTGTAATATCTTTTCTTGCACTTTCAGCTGAGCTTTCATCAGCTTCATTTTCATATTATGTTCTTCTTCCATAATTTTTATTTTTAAACTGTGCTCTTCTTCAAGAGTTTCTTTTTTCCTTTTTGCATGTTCATATATAGCATCAGCTGCTTCAGGCTGTTTCCTTTTTCTTTTACTTTGACAACTTTTGTCATTAGTAGAAATCTGAAAGGTAATTATTTCATTATAAGCTTAAACAATATTTTTTATGGAATATAATTATTTTTAAGATTTACCTGCTGATTATCAATATTTTCAATATAAAAATCTGCAGTGGGTTCAATGNACCGACCTTGGCCATGATCGCTCGACCATCCGGTCGCCTAGTAATTTTACAAAAATTATAATATGAATTTTTAATTTTATCAATTTATTTTTTATTCGGACAATAATTTTAAAACTTAGAAATAAGCATAATAATTATTATACTTATTATTTTAAATTCATCATACCGAATAGACATAATTACGGAAAAAAATTTATAAAATATTTTGAGAGATGGCAACACTCTAACTTGTGTTGCTGGCGCGAAAAGTTATTACTTTTGTCACGTGTTTCTATGTTGAATATAAAATATTTCGGTAATTATTTTTATATGAGTCAGTTTAATATTTTTGTTTGTATAATTAAAATACACCCGAGACAGACGTATTTATATATAATGTATTTGTTTTAAGATGTACGGTACATATATAGCAAGATGAGAGATTGCACTCAGTGGATACAAACCATTGGGAGATTAAGTGATGGAATGGGTATTACTCTTTGTTTCAAAACTTTTCTCTATGGTTATAAAGCACTTTTCGTGACTGTATTAAACTTGCTATTAGAACTTATTGGTCTTGTCCTTCTTTCCCAATTATCACCCAGGAAAATTATCACCTGGCTGATAATTGGGATTGGGAAAGTAGGAGAGGTTCAATAAGGTGATCTATGGATTTAATAGTCAGTCAAACACATTTATATCTAATATTAAGTTTGTACGTAAAGAAAAATCACAAAACCCAATAAATTTATAAGGCCGAACGACCGCCGGATTACGTCGGGTTACTTTTCTGTGATTATATTTAATTAATTACTAAATCTATATATATAAAATTACATGTTCTGACTGATTGATACATCATTGTCCAGAGCAAACCGCCGAACCTAAAGAGGTGAAATTTGGTACGCAGTTAGGGTACGTCGTGAAAATGCACACTAAGAAGGATTTTTCAAAATTCTCTGTGGGAAGAGGGAAAGGATTAAATAAATCGACAGAGGATTTACTTTGGTTTACACGGATGCCGTTTTCGAATAAAAGTGACATATTGTAGCTGATAAAACTCGTACGGTTCGAGTACGTGCGTGTGTAACAAAATTTCCACAGAACTATTTTATCCCGTCGTCCTGTCTCACTAAAATAGGCATGGTTAGTATTAACCGAGTGCAGTNTCAATAAGGTGATCTATGGATTTAATAGTCAGTCAAACACATTTATATCTAATATCAAGTTTGTACGTAAAGAAAAATCACAAAACCCAATAAATTTATAAGGCCGAACGACCGCCGGATTACGTCGGGCTACTTTTCTGTGATTATATTTAATTAATTACTAAATCTATATATATAAAATTACATGTTCTGACTGAGTGATACATCATTGTCCAGAGCAAACCGCCGAACCTAAAGAGGTGAAATTTGGTACGTGGTTAGGGTACGTCGTGAAAATGCACACTGAGAAGGGATTTTTCAAAATTTTATGCGGGAAGAGGGAAAGGATTAAATAAACCGATAGAGAAAATTCACTTTGGTTTACACGGATGCCGTTTTCGAATAAAAGTGACATATTGTAGCTGATAAAACTCGTACGGTTCGAGTACGTGCGTGTGTAACAAAATTTCCACAGAACTATCTTATCCCGTCGTCCTGTCTCACTAAAATAGGCATGGTTAGTATTGACTGAGTGCAGTCTTTTGTGGTGCTAACTATACATACATATTTTGATTTTGTATATATAGGTATATAATATAATATATCTTATGTGATTATGGGGAACAGATTAAAATTCGGGCTATAAATCTGCTTAATTATAATTTTAAATAATTTAGAGTAATCTGGAAGAAAAGAAGTTTAATATACTTATAGATTAAAATTGTGATTCGATAAACAATTTTTGAATTGCTAACATGTTATGCACCTACATTAACTAAAGATGATGCTTTGTGTTACATGCATAGCATTAGCTTTAATTAAAGTAGATATATATTTTGATAATATAGATGTACTTTTTTGATGATGCATTTGAAAGGAGAAAATTGTCTTGCATGACTGTCTTTGAAATGAAGGCTTTTGTCGCATTTTAGTTAATCACAGCTATAACTGTGTCGATCTCCAGACAGGCAGCCACGCTAGTACCATGAAGACGGAGATCTATTTGAATTCAAAGCTAATTAAAACAACAAAAACAATAACTTTTAACTATAATATATTGACAAAAATATTTTTAGATTGAATATTTCGTGGCGCAGAAGTTCAAAAATTATTCCATAATATATGAATCATTCTGTGAAATTATAAACATGTTTACAGTTTATAAACTATAAATTTATTTACATTACTTATTTATAAAACATAGTTTTTGATGATGATATAAAATATATTTTATTTTGATTTAAATTTAATAAACTTAAGAGTTTGATAATTTATTTTAGGTATTTATTTTATATTTTTAGGTATTTATAAACATGGGTAAAAGAAAAGTGCGAGGTAAATTTTTATTTTCTTACATATTTAATAAATAATTACTTTGATAAAGTTAACATATAACCAGCCAAACTTTACTGTCATTTGTGTGGAATAGCTTANAAAATTGTGATTCGATAAACAATTTTTGAATTGCTAACATGTTATGCACCTACACTAACTAAAGATGATGCTTTGTGTTACATGCATAGCATTAGCTTTAATTAAAGTAGATATATATTTTGATAATATAGATGTACTTTTTTGATGATGCATTTGAAAGGAGAAAATTGTCTTGCATGACTGTCTTTGAAATGAAGGCTTTTGTCGCATTTTAGTTAATCACAGCTATAACTGTGTCGATCTCCAGACAGGCAGCCACGCTAGTACCATGAAGACGGAGATCTATTTGAATTCAAAGCTAATTAAAACAACAAAAACAATAACTTTTAACTATAATATATTGACAAAAATATTTTTAGATTGAATATTTCGTGGCGCAGAAGTTCAAAAATTATTCCATAATATATGAATCATTCTGTGAAATTATAAACATGTTTACAGTTTATAAATTATAAATTTATTTACATTACTTATTTATAAAACATAGTTTTTGATGATGATATAAAATATATTTTATTTTGATTTAAATTTAATAAACTTAAGAGTTTGATAATTTATTTTAGGTATTTATTTTATATTTTTAGGTATTTATAAACATGGGTAAAAGAAAAGTGCGAGGTAAATTTTTATTTTCTTACATATTTAATAAATAATTACTTTGATAAAGTTAACATATAACCAGCCAAACTTTACTGTCATTTGTGTGGAATAGCTTAAAATCATTAGAATAAATATGTTTTATTTTAATTAATTAAATTAATCAAAAGAAACAAAGAACAATTTCAAGTCACTCAATAACTTCTCTTCAGGTTCAAGCATGGGAAAAATGTGAAAATTTATTATTACTTGCTCCCATGAAAGTTTTTTTAATAACTCTTTCCACCTGCAAGCATTTTAAGAGGCTCTTTTTATCAAGCCTGCTATGGGCTAGGCTGGGCTCACAATGGGGTGGATGGATGGTGATGGACGAGGCCCAACACATCCAAACTTCAAAAAATTTTTTGAATTTTTTTGACTCGTTTAGATTTGATCCCTGATCTCCAGAGCGGTAGGCTGCCATTTGGTCGTCTCCTATATAAGTTAATATTTCCATGGACCTTTAACAGTGGGAAGTTTAAAGAATGCTGAAATTTTTTACCCAGTTAATGGGCCATTGTTGGGCACGAACAGTTGAAATTAGAATGCCAATGTTAGTAAAGAAGTGGCTAGTTCATCCTTATCTCTATAGTATTTGGAAATGAGGATGAATATCACCAAACTTTTGTAATCTACCTTTTACTGCTTTCTTGAAGACTATTAAAGTATCTTCTTTAAATCCACTGATTCTTGTGCTTTCCAGCCCGCCATTGGGGGTAAAAACTTGCTATAAAAACTCAACATCAAATTTGAACATAGTCTACTTTTAAATTCATGTTGTTATGGGATACAAGACGTCATTAGCTTCTATAATCTTCTTTACTTAACTCCAGAGAATCTTGAATGCAGGGGGATGGCCACTTCATTTTCTTCTCTTGTCAATAGGAGAATTGCTCGTAATGCTTTCTCTTCTTTGAAACAGAAGAACATAAAGAATCTTGTATTTTTTTGCAAAATAAAGATGGTGTATGCCAGTATTTTTCGACCTTTTTCTAACTTCAAACTGATAAAATTATGGATAATTTTATGTGGACCAGTAATTATATTCAACTATAAACTACTGTATGCTTATATAGAGTTATTGTATGTAACTAAGTACCAGTACATGTGGTGATCTAGTTGCTATTTAAATGTCACCCGTAATCGACTGTTGATATGATCAAGTATTTTTCTGTGGATCAATGAAAGTTTATCAAAGACTGGCAGTTGAAAAACACTCATGTAAACTAATACAAAGACCTTTAGTTAAGATGATTACTCAGTTTGTTGGTGTTAAATTTACAAAAAACAGTTTTAATAAAATATTTTGAGCATTTTCAACATTTTATAAAACATTTTTGTCAGGAATTGAATTATGGAATGTAGAAGAAAAAATACAGTAAAAGTCTCANATGTTTTATTTTAATTAATTAAATTAATTAAAAAGAAATAAAGAACAATTTCAAGTCACTTAATAACTTCTCTTCAGGTTCAAGCATGGGAAAAATGTGAAAATTTATTATTACTTGCTCCCATGAAAGTTTTTTTAATAACTCTTTTCACCTGCAAGCATTAAGAGGCTCTTTTTATCGAGCCCGCTATGGGCTAGGCTGGGCTCACGATGGGGTGGATGGATGGTGATGGACGAGGCCCAACACATCCAAACTTGATCTAGATTTGATTCCTGATCTCCAGAGCGGTAGGCTGCCATTTGGTCGTCTCCTATATAAGTTAATATTTCCATAGACCTTTAACAGTGGGTGAAGTTTAAAGAATGCTGACATTTTTTACCCAGTTAATGGGCCATTGTTGGGCACGAACAGTTGAAATTAGAATGCCAATGTTAATAAAGAAGAGTTTGAAAGATTAGTGTTGTATAAACTTTCCCACTGATAAAGATGCATTGGTTAATTTGGCTGAGTAACCACAGTGGCTAGTTCATTCTTATCTCTATAGTATTTGGGGATGAGGATGAATATCACCAAACTTTTGTAATCTACGTTTTACTGCTTTCTGGAAGACTATTAAAGTATCTTCTTTAAATCCACTTATTCTTTTGCTTTCCAGCCTGCCATTGGGGGTAAAAACTTGCTATAAAAACTCAACATCAAATTTGAACATAGTCTATTTTTAAATTCATGTTGTTATGGGATACAAGACGTCATTAGCTGCTATAATCTTCTTTACTTAACTCCAGAGAATCTTGAATGCAGGGGGATGGCCACTTCATTTTCTTCTCTTGCCAATAGGAGAATTGCTCATAATGCTTTCTCTTCTTCGGAGCAGAAGAACATAAAGAATCTTGTATTCTTTCGCAAAATAAAGGTGGTGTATGCCAGTGTTTTTTGACCTTTTTCTAACTTCAAACTGGTAAAATTATGGATAATTTTATGTGGACCAGTAATTATATGCAACTATAAACTATGCTTGTACAGAGATATTGTATGTAACTAAGTACCGGTACATATGGTGATCTAGTTGCTATTTAAATGTCACCCGTAATCGACTGTTGATATGATCGAGTATTTTTCTGTGGATCAATGAAAGTTTATCAAGGACTGGCAGTTGAAAAACACTTCTGTAAACTAATACGAAGGCCTTTAGTTAAGATGATTACTCATTTTGGTGGTGTTAAATTTACAAAAAACATTTTTAATAAAATATTTTGAGCATTTTCAACATTTATAAAACATTTTTGTCAGGAATTGAATTATGGAATGTAGAAGAAAAAATACAGTAAAAGTCTCAAAAACACAACTCTTGATAATTCAACATTTTGTAAAACCAGTCGGGTGTTCAAAAAAATACACATAATCTAATTTTTGTCTTTATAATTTAATACTAGGATTAAATAAGTTATCATTCTTCACTGGTGACAATTGGTAATGGCATTGCTTCCATGTGTTAACGAAGATTAACCTTTTTCTGAAGTATCGCTGCAAAATGCCACAATGTGAATGTCACTAACTCCAAATTAGTCATTGAATAACCAATATTTTTTGAAATTTAACTACAAATAGAAATAGTTCCTGTTGATACATAGTTAATACATATATGAATTTGCACATAATACCTTTGTGAAAATTCTGCTATTTGGATTAGTATCATCGCTATGACTCGGTATTTAACAAATTTGTATGTACATTGCTATGACTCAATACATTAAGTACTGAGTCATAGCAATGTACATACAATGCTTCTGCCAATGATAAGACGACGAAGTTTGACCTGCATTTTATCACAATTCTTTCTCTTAGTTTACGGTTAAACTTTTGTGACATTTTTCTATGAACTGTTGTGCTGTTGTACTGTATTGTACGTGAAAATGAGTGTGAGAGATAATCCGTCACTCGATTTTTTTCCAAAAGGTACTAATAATTTTTTCTGGAGGTAAATTTTTATATCTTTTGTAGTACAATACAGTAGAGCCTCGATTATCTGACCCCCGATCAACTGTCACATCGGTTCACCGACCGTGTTCTAGTCGTCAAATTCAAATATTCGCTAGTGATGTGGCACTACAATATTTGGCTATGTCTTGGCTACTTTAATATTATTTTTGTTAGAATTTTGCGTGATTTAGTTGACCATGAAAGGGAGGCCAGTATTTAAACGAGGCTTAATTTTCTAATTATGAGTGGTGGTTTGTTTTGTGTGGATTTTTCTGAGGATTGTGCGTCGTGCTGAATTGGAATCTGTTTTCATTGGAGATATAAATTTTGGATCTGTGTATTTCACACTTGTAACAGATTGTGCTGTAGTTGTTGTAACGTTCGCAATGGCGACTAAACGTAAATGCATTGTTCTCAGTGTTTCCGATAAACTTACAATAATTGATCAGTTGAAAAGCAGTGCTAGTAGATTAAAGCTTAGCTCAGGAATATGGAGTTGGAAAAACCACAATAACAGACATTAAAAAGAACAGTGATGCCATTAAAAAATTTGCGAGTGTATTTGACATGAGAATGGAAGCTTGCACAGAAAAAAAAGATTTGGACATTGTAGTTTACACTTGTTCATGCAGGTACATAGCCAAGGACAACCAATAAGTGGCCCTTTGATTTGTGTAAAAGCTCTTCAAATGAACAAGAAACTAGGAGGTAACGCTGATTTTCAAGCAAGTACCGGCTGGCTTATGCATTTCAAATCTAGGCATGGAATTAGGGAATTGGACATCCAGGGTGAAAAATTGTTGGCTGATACTGAATCAGCTGAACGTTTGAAAAATAAGGATGGTTACAAAAAAAAAACAATGTCTACAATGCAGATGAAACTGGTTTGTACTG